CTCTGCGGCCTTGGCTAAGGCGCAGACTGAGCAGGGCCTGTAGATGTTCTTTTCGGGTGGACCAAATGTAGCTGTCGTCCATGAAAGCTCCTGCGAATTCGGGGGGCGGGTCCCCCCGTGTCGGCTTTTGGTCTTGAGCTTGTTGAACAGCGCGCTCCAGCTCAACTGCCAGTACTCTGCCGAAAGCAATAGGGCTGTCGGGGGCGCCTTGCCTCACCCCGTTCGTCTGCGGGATTCTGAACTCCTCTCCGCGGAAGTAGATGTTGATTTCGTTGGCGTGGATGAGGTTTGTCCACGCTCTCGCCTCCCATGGGTGGTCCCCCGCAATCCCCACATCGGCTTCGATTTGTTCTGCGAGGGCCTCCTGATATATCGAATCGAAGGATTTTCGTATATCAAGCTTCGCAATATACATGGGGATTCCCCAGTCCCTTGCCACTCTGCAGACTCTGCGAAGAATTAGCTGGACCAGGTGGGAGACTCGACCTATGAGCAGCTGGGAGAAGGTCTTGAGGAGAGCGGAACTGAGTGTGATAGGCCTTGTATCGCTCCATTCTGCTGGGTTCCCCGTTTTCGCGAGGAGTACTGTAATGCCCTTCTCGACATTTTTGGGAACCGCGGCTGTATAGAGGATGTCATTGAGGACGTACAGCAAGATCCCCCGCCATCTGTCGTCGTGTTCGAGAACTCGTAGTGCTTCATGCGAAACACTATCTGGCCCGCAGGCCTTCCCCCCAGACCATCTTTTTCGCACTTCGTGAAGCTCTTCGACTGTGAAGGGGATCCAGGCTGTCGTCTTGCATAAGCGAGCCAGTCGGTCACTTATTCGTCGAAGCTTGCCGGCCACGGTCGCAGCATCCGATTTGTTGAAAATCCCCCCGAAGTGGCTTTTGAGCGTCTCTCGCCAGCGGTCATCTGATCGGAGATGTAATTCCCATGAACTGTCATGGGTGCTTCGATCCATCGCCTCTTTCGCCCTCCACCATCCTTTGCCAGCCAGATCAAGTTGCTCGACTCGCCATGCTCGGTGTTCTTCGCGGTGGCTTTTTTGGACTTCTTTCCATGCACGCTTTCGCTCTGGCCCTGGTGGCATCTGTAGTGCGCGATGTCGACGACACCGCAAGCTTTTGCTCTCTTTGAACTTGGCAAGGGATCGCCCAGGTCGGGTGATTTGCACAGCTAGGTTCGTGATCTCTTGGACCATGTCCCCCGAAGATGGTGGTGGGATGGCCACGATCTTTTCGACCTGCTGCCAATCGCGTAGTCGGCGACTCCCCCACGGTTTGGCTTCGGAGGGCGGTGCTGGCGGCGCTGGCTGCTGTAGAGGCACATGAACCGGTTCATGGTCCGAGCTCGCTAGCTCTCGCAAAGACAGGACCCTCCCTTCTTGACAAAGGAGGTGCTTCGTCGCCACATAGTCCAGCCTCCGAGGTCGCATAGTCGTGTTGTAGGGAAAGAAGGACGCTTGCTCCAGTTGTTGCGAGGGGATGCGAACGTCCCCCGCAGTGAGAGAAGTCAGCATTTGTTCTCCGCGCCCCGAAGTTGTCGTCAGCTTCCCTGAAATGCCTAGGGCGAAAGTCTCGTTGGCATCCATACCAAGTACCGCTTTGGGAGCAGGTCACATTTGTTGCATCCATGTCGTAACTATCTCATCCGCCTCAGCTATGGTGGCATGATGGGGTAGATGGCCTGACACAACAACGAGTCTGAATTCCCCAGCCACGAGGCAGGTGCTGAAGCCACTTCGAAGAAGTTTGTTTCGACTGTGTTTGAAGTGGGAGGTATGTACTATGCCGGTTCCTCGCCAATCGTCAGCTTGCTTTCCACAGACGCATTGCAGATCACCTCGCTCTTGTACAGTCTTGCCCGTGTCAACGATTATCTCTTGGAGACATACGATTAGGGCCGAATCAAAGGGATGAATTCGTTCTTTTCGAAGGTCACAAAGAAGGTGAAAGAGTTTGTCCACTGTCAGTCCCCCCCACATTCCACGTGACAACATGCATGTCATAGAGGTCGGTGTCCAAGACCTCCAGGTGAGACTGTTGCCGCGGTCGTCATTGAAGGGGTTTCTTGAGCTCCTCCCATCGATCGGCGAGCCCCGTCAGCGAAGTCCCCAGCTGTCGTGCAAGGGTCGGGAGGTTGATCCATCCGACTCCAGCTTTTTCCCCCCCGGGGGGGGCTGTGGTGACTGCAGAGGAGATCTTGGCCCCATCGTACCAGACGTTGCCGGTGCCGAACTCCACCTGCACCAGGCGCCTGTCCCCCTGGCTTTCCAGGATGAGGCGCTTGACTTTACCAGAGAACTGGGCACGCTTGCGCCTCTCAGGACTTTCGCTCATCGCCGCCCAGAAGAAACGGTTCCCTCCTTCTGGTCTGTCCCCCGTGACGATGCGGGCCTCGCGGATTTGGCGGAGTGCTGTGCGGATTCTGCTGCGAAAACTCTCCTGGTTTTCCCCCTCTCGAGGGTTGATTGGCACAATAGCGAATCCTCGACGCAGTCCTGGGACAAAGGCTTCACTGAGGTCAAGATCGACCTGCAATCGCTCGATGTGCTCCCTGACTAGTTTGAGGGTGGTTTCGGCATCTTGGTCGGCGTCCCATCCCCCTGCTACTATAGCAGGTCGTTGGACCCCATCACTGGTCCCCCCATCGGTGGTTCGGGTGCTTGAGGCCGTGAATGATGCTGCTGCGAACTTCCCCTCCAAGAGTTCAAGCCTGCGTCGGACATCATCAACCGCTGCGGCAGATTGCTTGACTGTCCCCTCTATATGGCAATGTCTGTCTGTCATGGCATCCAGCAGGTTTGTTGTCCTTTTGACATGTTCCTCCATGTTGGCTTCTACTTGCGCGACTCTGGTGCTGATCGTCGTCAAACTCCCTTCCAACGATGCATGAACAGTGCTTGTAATATGCTGCTGGGAGACTTGAAGGGCTTGCTGAAGAAGTGCCAAGGTCAATGGCTGGTCCCCTGAAGGGGCCAGCTCTAGGTTCTCGGCAGCGATGTCTTCCCGGGCTCGTTTCGGTGAGGCCTGAGCTTGCCCTGCTTGGTCTCCACTCGGGCTCGCGAAGTCAGTGGTGGGGCTGCGGTTGTGGCTGTCCCCACGCTCGGTCATCTCTCTTGCCTTTGTCGTAGCGGGTCTCAAACTCCCCCTGGAACAGCGTGTAGGCCGCCGATCACGTCCTGGAGCGTTCTTGCCGATCCCCTTAAGCACGGCGGTCAAGGAGAAGGCGCGTAGATCAGCAAACTTGCCCTAGTCAAGTATGGCGCGGGCTTCGCTCCCACGCTCTCTCCGGCACAGACAACCCCCTGTTTCGAGGTCCTCCCTCACTCTCACTAGTTTTTACGTGGCTCGGACCTTGAGCACTCGCGGCTTGAGCCAAAATGGCTACTCTCTCTCTCTCTCTCTCTCTCTCTCTCTCTCTGCATCTGCCCCAGTTGTTGAGGATTCCCTGCCGCAGCCTTCTCCTCAGGATCGTATTGCAGACGGATTTCGCCATAGTAGCCATCCTTGCTCTGCAAGTCGCTCCTCGAAAAGGCTAAGATTTGACATAACCAGGCACGCAAGATGCCACGCTTGTGCTGTCCTCAGCCAAAGCCCGTCAGGAATCAGAAGACCAGTGATCTGGCACGAGTCAAGCTGACCCCCCCTGATGGCTCGGTGCGTCTGTGGGTGGCCTTCTCTCCGTTGGGGAGGGTTTGTTCAAAGCCTTAGATGAAACCGCTTGTGGGGTCTGGTGACGTGGACCTTACCTGTTGAATCTGGTAAGCATCCCACCCAAGTCTTTCCCGACCTCGGAGACTTCTGGTGTGAATGCTTTTGCGGCTGGGATTCAGGCCGGGGCCTGTCGAATCTCGTAGGTGTAGAGATCATCCTGAGCCGCGCTGAGAGCTCTCTTCAGGCCAGGCTTGAGGCTGGGGCTCATGCCGTGCGAGTGTCTCCGTAAGACCAGGATCCTCGCAGGTCCTGTCGCTGAGTAGCGGCGAGAGAGCGAGAGTAGCCAGAGCCATCCGCAAGACTGCGCCCCACTTGACCCACGAAAGAGCTTCCGAAAACGGGGGTGTCCCCGTGCTCTTCCGGAGCCGGCGCCGCTGGCGCTGCCGCTGCCGGCGGCGCAGGCACTGGCCCTCGCCTCGAGAGCCGAGGAGCGGATGGAAGCCGCTCTCGCAAAAGCGCTCCGAGGCTTCCGACGCGAGGGGTGCGCTCTGCGGTCCGGAGGGGCCGTCTCCTCCGCGCCCTGAGCGGAGGAGCGGAGCGCTGAGCCGAGCCGTTTCGCAGCAGGGAGCCCTGGACTGAGGAGCCGGGCGGAGGAGGTGGAAGACCAAGGGCCTCGGAAGCTTTGAGCCGAAGTTGCCGAAGGCTCGGCAAGCCTTCTGCCTCCTTGTCCTTTTCTCCCCCCCCCCCCCCCCCCCCTCCCCGCCTCCCTCCTCTCGCGATCTCTCGCTCTCTCTCTCTGGCTGGGCCCCTCGCTCGCCACGCTCCGAGTTTCTGCGCAAGGCATCCTGGTGATCACGGGGCCCGCCGCGGAGAGTCTCAACGGCTCTCTTAAGGGCGCTAAGGCCTGTAGGCCGTCTTGGCCGCGCGCCTGCATCACGAACTTGAAGTCGGATTCTCGGAAGACTGGCACCTGGTTCACCTGCCGCGGGCAAAGACACTTGCCTGCGCACCTTCGCGCTCCTCTCCTTCGCTCCTTCCTCCCTCTGCCTGCAAGAGCCGGTCCCCGACCCGGAAGCCGAGATCGTAGGCCTCGGGACAAAGCTCGCGAAGGAACAATTGCTCGGTGCTGTCCAGGCTGCCCACCCGCAGGTCACCGAAGTTGTTGACCACTAGATCGTCCTCTGACAAGTTCAAGCCTCAAGGGGCCAGTGCACTGTCCCCTCTGCGGCGGAGAACTGCTCCGAAGAGCACTTGGGGCACCCGACCGACTCTGCCGCCTGTCACAGCGCACATGCCAAGCTCATAGTTGCACTCTTGGCAAGACGGCTGCTAAGCACATCCTCCCGACACGTCACTGCACTCCTCTCAGCCGTGCAACTTCTATCGGCCCTCTTACGCCCTTCTGGCTCCCAGGAGCATCCTGCTGGCACCTCTTGGCTGCGACCAACACCGGAGACCAGGACTTCAGCACAGAAGCTTACAGACAATTCTGAAACCCGCAGGCGCCTTCAAGAGGCTGCGGAACGACGATCTGCAGGCGACGCTGCCTCGCAACGGCCGAGAGGAGTGGCTTCCGTTCAAAAGCTGCCGCCGGTGGGTTCCGCGCCCATCTGCCATGAGCATGGGCTGTTTGGGGGGGCCTTCAGGAAAAATAAACAAGAAGAAGACACAACAACAGTGCCCCACCCCCTTTTTGAGTCCGGGGCCCCCGCCGTGGGAACCGTGCTCCCAAGTTCGAGGAGCCTCGGAGCCAGAGCTGGGGCGCGCGAAGTCCGTCGGCCGCTCTCTCGGAAAACCCAACTTCTCGGCTCCCCGCTCCAAACATCTCGGCCCTGTCGCGTCGCATCTCGCGACGCGCTCGCGTCTCTCGGCCCCACTCGGACCCCGCTCTCCGGTCTCCTCCCGGCCTCTCAGCCCGCGCGCTGGCGCGGTAGCTGCGGGCGTCTCCCAAGCCCAAGGCCTTGGTTGGGGGCCGGGGCCCGAGCCCGAGCGCTGAAAACTTCTTNNGGGGGGGGGGGGGGGGGGGCCGAGCAAACTGAAAAGAGTTGTCCCCATGCATGGCTACAAGCCGCTGCTCTTGGCTCCAAACGCGCAGGCGCTGCGAGAGGAGGGCCTCAGTCGCTTCCAGGGCTTTTCCCTGTTGCTTTCCACCCGACACTCCGAGGCCAGTGGCAGATGCAGACGGCTCCGCGTAGACGTCTCCATCCTTGAACGCCACCGATCCGTCTCACGCGTTGCTGAAAGCCAGGCTCGCCTTGGAAAGACCTCGCTCCACGAAGACTAAACCTGAGCGGAACAAAGTGCATGAATGATCTGTCCGACGCGCCCAAACTGGAAGGCGGTGCCAGTTGTCCGACTTCAACGACCACTGCTTCGACTTCATAACGAAACGGTTTGGAGACCCAGAAAAACGAGAGTCTTTGCGATGGGGCCCTCGCTCATGCAGATGGAGAGCAAGGAGAGGAGGAAGCCTCCGATCGCGACTGCCTGGCAGCGAGTCATTTTTTGCCCATCTCCCGCGACTCATTCCCCCTGCAACTCTCATCGTGGGACCCAAAAAGTTTGTGAGGTGCTGGCGATGATGAAGTAAGGAGCCTCGCCCACCTGCTCTTCTTAAGGCTGACGGTGCTGACAATGCGGTGGGAGGGAGGGGACAGCAGGCGCAGCCGAGATGACACTTCTCGAGGAAGGGGCCTTGGTCTGCACTCGAGTTTGGGCCAGCTCCACCACCTGCCAAAGGGCGGCCACGGCCACAACCACAAACCCCCCCCCCATGTCTGTCAAAAAGGGCCCCAAAAAGGGGCACCAAGCGATCCCGCGGAGAGGGCACGGCGCATGGCCTGCTTGATTTGGTTCAGCATCACCGGATGTGACCTTATATGAGGTGCTTTTGCAATCCCCTCACCTCGTGTCTGGGTGACCTGCTCTCTGCAGCAGAGGAACGGCGCGGAGCTCTCGACCAAAGAAGCAAAAGGGATGGCTTCCGGGATCTTTCCAACCTCCTGCACTTGTTTGTTGCTCTTCACGGGCTCCTTGTCCTGCCCCTCCCTGTGCCCCCGCCTCTCTGTGCTCTCGGCGATCAGCGTGACCGGGTCGCTTGGCAGAGGACTGCAGCAAGGAGACCCTCAGTCGGTCGATCGCGATGCTTGCCGTTGTCCCTTCCTAGATATGCGGCCCTGTTTGCCAAGAAGGGATCAGAGGCCGCTGCCCTGGGCAGCGCTCGGCGTTCTCCGCGTCCGAGTCCTCTCAGGAAGCAGGCGGACACACGAGGCTTTCTCGGACTGGTGCCCTCGGTTGCCGCGCTCTCCTTCCAGACACTCTCACGTGCCTGAAGCCTCGGCAAGAGCGATCGGCCCGCATGCCGCGATTCTGCGCGCGGACTCGCTCAAAACACACCTTGGGCTTCGGCTGAGGCGCCTCAACGGCCCGGGCCCTCCCAAAAACAAGGGAACTGAGCGCAAAGACCTGAGAAGGCACAGCACCTCATATCACCTCCGGGTCCCCGGGTCTCAACCCGGAGCTGGAGCCCGCAACTCCGTAGGTCATGAATGACTTTGAACAGAATTTGGAACTCGCGCTTCCCAAAAACAAGGAAGAGATCATGAGTCTGCCCTCTAAAGCAAGCTCATGTTTTTACGTGTTGCAAGTCGTTGCGACAATCCGTCTGCTCGGGGCTCAAAGAGCTTTTATCCGAATTTCGTTCGGTAGCTGTGGCATGCCTTTTTCTCACGTGTACTCTCGGGTCTTTCGTGCATCTCCCAGTCAACCTGTCTGCACTTCAGAAAGAACTCACGTGCACCCTATTGGCCTGTTCTGTGGAGTCCTGTGCCTCCTTGGATGCATTGACCTTCGGCCACCCTTAGAACTTGTGGGGTGGCAATTGAGGAAAGAACAGAGCCGCCGCACAGATTGCTTTTGGGCAAACAGGATCAAGGGCGGACTGGGTGTTCATGCTTAGTTAACTTTTGGATTCGCATGCTTAAACCCAGCGAGTGCATGTCCATGCATGCATATATACAGAAACAGACAGACAGACAGACAGGCAGGCAGGCAGACAAACAAACAAACAGAGACACACACACACACACGTAGTTCCTGGTCTGGGCCGGTTATCTTCGATCATCCTTCTTCTTCGATATTGCTCTTTGACCGCCCGCCCCGCCCGCCCCACCCCGCAGCTCCCGCTCGCCGCCGCGCTCCCACGCATGCACCCACCCACCCACCCATGCACGCACACATGCCCGCCCGCATGCGAACGAAACTCGGAATCCGAGTGCGCCACTCGGCGTGTGATGTTCATTCCGACTCAATCTAAGACTCGACAAGAAAGCGTTGAGAAGGCTTCAATGGGTTGAATATCGTTGCTGTTTTTAAGGAAAGCTACGAAGCTAAGCGTCACCTGAACCTTGCGTCGTCGTTCTCTAGTGGGAATTTGGGGTCCTGTCCCGGTTCAAACTAACTAAGTAGTGAGGATGCGGTTGCTGTCCTCGGCACCAGTTCGGCAACAAGCGTCTTGCTCAGGTACATGCCTGAACGTCCTCAAGCACTCCCACCCCTAGCCACACGTTTGGGCACAGTCGTGAGCAAGTGCCATGTCCCTCTGTCAGGACTTTTCATTCCACGACATGCAGCATGCAGCTCCTAGGCCCTTTGTGGCACGGGAGACACTAACCCCGGACATCGAAAAGGTTAGCTTGAACAACAAGCATAGATTGCGGTCTTCTGATGTCCACCCGAACTGTCTCGGCGTCGGGACCACCGGGCGTTTTTTTGGGCCTCGGCTGAGCTTCGCGCGAGGAATCGCTGAGCCATGGATTCGTGGAATCTCCTCGGTGAACGGAGGAAGCGGCTTTTTCTTAGTGCCTGAAGGATCCTGCAGTCCAAAGTTTGCTTTTCCTCTCCCTCCCCATCTTCATGCACGAGCTCCCTGACCTGCGCACGAGGGGGTCTTCGTGCGCCTAAGTGTGCGACTCTCCTGCTCTTCGACCAGCTCGGAAGACAACTCAGCCACTGACGGTGTACCGGTTCGCTAGGTGTGTCGACGGCACTGTGAGCCAAAGGCGCAGGCATGGGCCACCGACAGAGAGAGAAAGGGGTCTGAGTGTCGCTGTGGAGAGAGAAAGAGAGAGAGCGCATGAGCGAGCATGCCACTCTGGAGATCCAGACGGCCAACACGGCACCACTTCCCCTCCCCCCCCCCGTCCAGCGTGTCTCTATCTCTTTTCATCTCAGAGGTCGCCTTCCCTGCACCGTTTTCACGGCTTCTTCTCATTCTCGGCCTTCTGCAATGGCTGGACCCCCAAGAGGTTGGCGACGGGAGAGTCGCTGAAGAGCGTTTGAAGAACCCAACCGGTCGTGGCGGTGGGCAAGGCATCAGTGAAGGGCAGAGCTTCCTCGAAGAAGCCGAGGACAGAAAGCCCAGCGCCACCGAACAAGAAGCGCAGGGCAACGGCTTCCAGAGGTGCGTATGCCACATCTCCGAGCTCCCCCAAACCTGCAACGGGACACAGGACAGTTCTGCTTAGCTGGATGCTTCTGGGCTCAGGCAGGCTTTTTTCCCCGGCGCCTGGGAGCAGGAAGGTCGCGTCACCGGCGAGGTCGATGGCCAAGCAGATGAGCAGCTTCAGCCACTGCTCCTTCGGTAAGGACAAGAGCCTCTCCGAGAGGCTGCTAGCGGCGCTGCTGGCAGCGCCGCTGGCTGCAGAGCCAACCGCTTTGGCGGCCGAACTTAAGACTTTTCCTTCCTGCTCCCGGCGAACTGCGTTGATCTGGCCTTGGATCCAGAAGACCAGAACCCCCAGCAACAAAGGGGCCACAGGCCCAAACCAGCCGCCAAAGAGCTGGTCCAGGAGGTTGCCATCGATGTCGAGAGGCTCCACGAAAGGCAGATAATAAATTCGGAAGGCCGCGGCGCTTTCAACCGGGCCCAGTGGGCCGACTCCCCAGCTGCGTGCGGCCAGGATCCTTCCTCGACTAAGCCGACCAGCCGCCGCCGTGGCCGTCGAAGCCCCCACCCAGGCCTTCTGAGCCAAGCCGAGGCTCACCAGAAAAGGGACCAGGAGCCGCAGCAGCGCGCGCCTCGCGCGTCGCTGCCAGCTCCGGGCCCCCATGGCGCTGAAGAAGGGCCCTTTTTTCAGGGGCCAAAAGAAAGGCGCGCCGAAAAGGGGGCAAGGTGTCTTCGTCTTAGACGTTTAAAAACGTTGCACTCAGGCTTGGTGTTGGCTCTTCCACCCCAGAGAGACTGGTGTATGACATCTTAACAGATCAGGCAGTGTTGTGAGAGAGAGCCGCTGTTGCCATCGCTAAACCCCACTCAAGCAGGTCCCTCTCTCGCTCCGAGCTTGCGCAGACTGCTCCTGCGCTTCGGCTTCGGGCACCTATGCAGTGCTACTCAGGCAGCTGGGGGGCTTTTTTTCGCGCGGTGCATGCTGCCAGCAGGCTGAAGGCTGCGGCGGCGTGCTCTGCTTTCCGACATGTCCTACGGGTCACGACATCAGATCTTGCGCTCTTCGGCACCTCCCGGGAACAAAGCCCTTGGTCGCGCTCGTCACTTGTTGAGGCCGGCCAAAGACTTGGGCATGTTGCAGGACCTTGCAAAGCATCTTCTTGCAGCGAGACTTCAACGTGACATGCCCCGGAACGCTGCACCCTTTGCATGGACTCGGATGCCTGCAGAGTTCCCTGCTATGCTGGGATTCTAAAAGGAGTTATTTTTCCTAGGGCGTGCGCTTGCGCCCTGCCCTTTCGATATCATGTGAATCCCACCCCTGGCCTAGCGGCCTAAGCAGGGGCCTAGGTCGAGGGCCTGCAGCAGCTTATGAGGCCGCGACTGCACACAGGACTGCCAAGAACTGCTGTGAACGCTGATTCGCTTCTTTCCTAAGGTCGCCGAAGATCGGCGAGGCATGGCAACCAAGGGTCTCTCTAAATGCTGGTAGCTGCACGGCTGGCGATGAGGTTGGAGGGCATCACCACCTAAAGGCGAGGCCGGCGTGCGAAGCTCTGTTGGGCTCTGGCGAGGCTCTGGCGATGATGTTGTGGATCGGCCTCGGAACGCGCGCGCCACCCCCCCCCCCCCCCCCCCGCTCAAAGCAGCTTGTTTGTCCTCTCTCTGATGTCGCCGATGCTCCCTCTCCTCTCTCTCCGATTTTAAAGGCACCGGCCCCACGCAAACGCCAGTGTAGCCTCGCATCGCCGTGTGGACGGCATCACGTGCCAGCCTTGAGAAAGGAAAGACTTTCCTAACAGAAGTTCTCCCTTTCTCTCTCTCAGAACTCCCTCGCTCCTTTTCTGTTGCCTGGAGCAGTAGATGTGGTCGTTTGGTCGGATGGTCACCTGAGCTCTCGGTCGAAAAAGCGCCCAGCCATCGCTTCCGTCGCTTTTCCAAAGGGAGCGGCGGAGCGGATGATGTAGGAGGGGTCGATGTAGAAGGACCGTCCTGGCTGCTGACGACGACTCTGGGGGGGGGTGGGGGCGGCGTTGCGTGTATCTGACGGTGTCTTTTCTACCATGCTCTCTCTCACCGGGCGCGTGGCCGCCGCTCTTCTTCAGGTGCGAGTTGATCTGGTCCTCTAAGTTAAGTCTCTCTTTCCCAGATCCTAGGGGGAAACCGAGCTCCACACCTTAAGGTAAGTACCGATGTCGCCATACACTGTGTGACCCGTCCTCAGCCGGAGTTGCCATTCGACAGCAATCGTAAAACTCTCACGAACACCGCTTGGCTGCAGGCGAATCCTTCTTCCCCGTCGAAACAAACTTTTGCCCAGCACCCTCCGCCACTGCGACGACCATGAAGTCCTAGACGAAACGTGCGGAAGCTCCTTGCTCCGCCTTGGCATGGACCGGCATCCGTGCTTTCCGTTCCCTGCCCTGCCCTCCTTGCGTGCCAAGGTAGTATCCACGTGCTTCATGATCTCCTCCATCCTGAGAGGAGCCAAGGCTACGGGAGGCCGCGGCGGTTTTCGGAAGTGGGCGCGGTGCTCGACGTCCACCTGTCCAATAACCAAACTCACTCTCTCGCCTCTCCTGGCATGGCATGGCCGTCCCTGGCCGCCTATGGCATGCCTGGCCTCCGGAATCATCACCAAGTCCACGATGGTGGAGGCCAGCGCCGCGTGCATGGCAACAAAGCCAGCATCACGTCCTCTCTGGGCTGAGCTGAAAGGATGCAGAATCTTTTTTGGGGGGCGGCAAGAACAAAGCGCCACAGTCCCATCAACTTCACGATGCCCACGCCCTTCGCACAACCTCGCCAAAGAGAAGAAGAAGAGAGCCCATGCATGCGCGCGCCAGGCACATGCGCGTGTGCGCCCATGACGCAGATGCGCCCAGAGAGACGGGCGCGGTTTCGGCCCCGGCAGTCTCAGCTCCGAGCTCGTCGCCTCCACCCAGCCGTTCCCTGCGCTCAGCGCGCTCTGCGCTCTGCGCGTTAGTCGCTGCTCTGCGATGCAATTAGCGTCTTCCCTTTTGGGCCCTCGCGGATCACCTCGGAGGCCGCAGCGACTGCGGAGTCGAAGCCTTGGCACTCGAGGCGGAAAAAAGGCGGAGATTATCCCTCCGATGTCAGTGATCTGCGGAGATCTAATGGGGGGGGGCTGCATGTTGTGTGTGCAGACTCTGCTCTTTGTTTTTTTCTGAGTGGCCGAAGGTCTTGTCGAAGAAGACGATGTCATTATCGATGGACTTGGGCACCCCGACTATGGACAAAGGCCTCGGAGCGGCTCGTGCAAGAAGCTAGCCAGCAGCTAGAAGCCGCTTTTCAAGGCTCCAGACATGTCCCTCTTGCGCGCCGCTTGGTACAGCAAGTTCGCTGCAGCCTGCATTTGTCGGGCCAGTCGCGCCAGTCAGCTGCCAAGAACCGGTCCTGAGTACCATCGCCGCCGACGGTAAAGAGCCTCAGGGACATCGGCGGCAGGCAACTGCTCTCGAGTCTGCATTGGCTCGGGCTGCAGCATGTTGATGCCCATCTTCTCAAGCCTGAAACAGCTCGCTTAGCTGCCTAGCTGATCACTTCGCCAGCGCATGCTGAGGCTTGCGCTGATCCAAGATCTTCTCCGGATCATCCATTCCGCCACGCCCCGCCTCGGCCCCCGCAAGACGCCGCTAAACCCTAAACCTAAAGGACCTACACATTCGGGGGCCTGTGCAAGCAATATATCCTGTGCACGGTTCCTCCCTTATCGCCTTGGCCTCTGCTGCGCCTGCTTCCTCTCCCGCCCCTCCTTGTAAGCACCCCTCCAAAAAAGCAAGCACATGGCTGCACAACCCGCGCGAGCGCGTGCCTTCAAGATGCTGCCTCCTTTCATGTGGATGTCTCGCACATTGTCGACATTAAGCCTTGAAGGCAACAAGGCAGCACATGTTGCACTCTAAATCAACAGGGACTGAGTGCGAGGACTGGATTGGTGGGAAGTCGTCCGGCGCACTGCACCTCACTCCGCCGCTGTATGCAACTCTGTGCCAGCGTAGAAGGCACAGATAACTCTCTCCGTGGCCCATTGTATCCGGCTTGCATGCCGAGGATGGTCTTGACCTCAGCAGCACCGCGAGCAGAGCCGGCAGAGAGCCGAGACAGCGAGCGGCTTTTCAAAGAGGCTCAGTGCAGGTCGCCATACTGGTGCCTTGGCTTTATAGACGGGAAGCGGACGAAGCGGAGGCCGCGAAGCGGAGAGGCAGCGGAGAGTCCGAGGGGCCACAGGCAATTCGTGATCTCCCGGATGATGGAGTTCAGCCCGGGGCCTTTTTTGAGCCCAGGAGCAGAGAGGCGCAAAGAAGGACTTCATAGAGACACAGCTCTCCGCCCGGCTCTCTCTGTTAAGCTTTCGGCAGAGCCCGCCGCAAGTCACGATGGCGGCGCGCACCTGAGATTGTTGCAGCAGTAGTCTCGCCGAGCCCCACGTGGCTCTTAAGCCTCAGGCCTCACTGGGGTTGTGGAAAATCTCACGGCACGCGTTCGCCCTGACGCAACCTGAGGGTTCTTTCTCCTCTTCTTTTGGCAAAAAACTCCTCGATCCATAAAGAGACCCCTAGCCCTAGCTTCCGTTTCCCGAGGCACCGTTGGCAAGCTCCTTTGGTCGGGAGGCCTGGCAACGAGCACAGTCAGGCATCACCTGCCTCAGGAGCCTCCAAGCCTCAACCTCGCAAAAAAGCGGCAAGCAAAAAAGTCTAGAAGCTTCTTTTCGCGCGCTTTTAAAGGAGCCGCTTGCAGCCGCTCATCGTCCTGAGCCTCCTCTGGACCTTGGTGGCTCCTTGCCAATGGCCCTAGAACGAAAGCGTGGGCGGTTCCGGCGTGGCCTGCTTTCGGGCCTTTCGGGCTCCTCGTAGGGATGCAGATGGGACCCCGTGGAGGGCCTGGGCCTCTGAGAAGAGAGGGGTGGCCCTGACGGGGGGAGCGCCGGGCGCGCCGGAGCCAGGCGAGAGAAAGGCGGCGGCGGATTTTGGGACGGCAAGGGCCCGGAGGCCAGCCTCGGCCTCTTGGGTGCTCCGCCGCCCCTCGCTCCGTCTCCTCGGTCTCGTCCGGGACTGTTGGGCCGCTTCTGCAGCTGACGCTGGAGACCCAGGCGGGCCACAGCATTGCTTCTCAGCGAAACTCGCGGTTCTCTGGACACCTTCACGTCCGCCACCCGCCAGTCCACCCAGTTTGTCAGCGTAACCTTCCGCAGGTGACGCTTAGGAGAGAGATTGGATTGGCGATCGAATTGTTTTGCCTGCGAAAAGTCCCGCCTCCACAGGCCCCTCCGGCGGCTCCAAAGCGGCCCACTCCGATTTACACCTCCGCCAAACTTCCTGGAAAGCCTCAGAAGCAATCATGAAAACAAGCGCATGGATGCAAGCATTCATCGCAGCTTGCAGCTTCTCTGCTTTTCAGTACGGGGTTTTCCGGGCCGGCCTTGTCTGCATTGAGGACGGAGGAAAGGTTCAGAGGCGTGCTGCAGCCGGTGGATGTGAAGGATGTGCTCGCAGACAGCGTGCTTTTGACGATCGCATCAATGCAAGCCCGCTCCAAGTCTTTCTCTTCCGGACGCAAAGGCCCGTCAAAGAACAAGCGAGCTTTTTCTTCAACCTGTGCTTGCACAATACGTGGATCAGCGCTGCGATATCCGCTTCAAAACATGGCGAACTCTCCTCTGCACGCGCATCCGCCGGCACCAGGGGCGCCTGGTGTCGAGCGCAAGTGCCGTGGCAACAAGTGAGCTGAAGCTAAGTTAGCTAACTGTTAAATGTTCTGTTTCGGGTTCTTCCGCTTGGCACTGCTTGCCTTTCTGCTCTTTGGCTTTCTGCTTTCGGCTTGCGGGCCGAAGGATCATCGACATAACGTTGACAATGAACGTAAGGATGTTGACAGCAACCGGGCACACAATGATGACAGAAACATGCCCCCTGGAAACATGCGGAGCACATACTTACCTATGTTCAAGACCCACAAACACACATGGATACTACCCCCACCGGCCCCCCAAGACCCACCATCAGTAGTTCCCTACCACGCCTTTCGTCACTATTTGTATCATCACCGGTTATCCCCTCGTAGAACCGTTGGAACACGTATGTCAAGTGTTGCTGCGCAGCACGAGCCGGCAACAAAAAAGGTATGTACCAGCGGGTGCGGTGCCCACTCAAAATTGGATCTGCTGTTGCACTTCTGAGTGCTTACTAGACATTGTCCAATCTGATGAAAGCTTCTGATACTAATCCAGGACATGTGGTATCAGGCGAACTAACATGCAACTGGCAGGGAACTCAATACGGAGTTGATACTATGGCCGTTCAATATTTACGGCGCTTGATCAGCCCTCTTTCTGGATAAGTGTTCGTGTTACTGGTGTTTTAAAAGGGCAGCCTGCCGTTGTACCCATGCGCTTGCTCAGCTTGTGGACTGTTGCATCTGCTTCAGCAGATGCAGATGGCACCTACTCCCCAATTTTTCTCTCGCATGGCTGAGAACTCTGCCCACAAGCAAGGTACTCCCCAATTTCGAGGTTTAACTGGGTACAGCTGTCCATTGCCAGGAACGCTGAGATATGTGTAGAACAGCAAGTGCTCACCAGCTCCATACAGCTGAAGTCCGAACTTGGCGGATATTGACATACTTCTCAATGGTACTCCGTTACAAGTGAATGTTAACACAGCCACAATGTCATGCTTATTTAGTGCGAGTGTAATCACATATCACCGGTATTTGACCAATCTTCACTTCAGACTTCGCGATAAAAATGGTGTAGCACGGAGCCTGGATCTAACGTGAAGAACCCTAGCACTCCTGGACGCTCAAGATCTTTTGTCTGCATACGCGTATCCCTTCCCACAGACAGCCTTGAGACGGCGGGAGAAGGAGGTCTTGATGGCTGTTGATGCATGACACAAACCTTTGGTTTAGCACCAGTCTTATTTTAAGCAGCCTCAAGAGTCTCACTTCCTCCATGCCTCGTTAGCGGCTGTTCCGACAGCGACATCTCTTGAAGATTTGCTGTCCACAAGTGTGACCACTGGTCGGGCCATCCACTCACGAAAGTCGTCCCTAAGGCTTCTGGAGCGCTTCGTCATACAGTCAGCGTGCATCTGTTCCGTCGGAACCCAACGTAAGCCTTGGCATGATTGACGAAGAGCTGCGACGTCTATTTCCACACGCTTCTCCGTGAAGTTGCACGCCTTTGGAGTGGAGCTTGAAGAGGGTCTGGGTCATCCTCCGGGCCGTATCGCGAACATCGCCTGGTTGCGGGTGCCTGATCCATACGATCAGGTACGGCAGCCGCTTGATCAGCATGCCGTGCAGGTAGTCCGCTGCCTCGATGCCAACAGTCGCGTCCTCGCCCGACAACTGTAAGGGCTGGAGAACCCGCAAACCTTCAGACAATGCGTACTCGGATACCTGGCTGGTGTCGTTCTCGAGGATCTCAATCACATCGGCACCGTACTTCCGGAGTTGGCGACAGGCTTCAACTCTGGTCGTGTAGACCCTGTGCTCGGCCTTCCAGGTATCAAACAAGGCCTTGGCAGCACCTGCCAGCCGCTTTCGGGTTCCCGGCTTCAAACGAAAACATCCCCGGTCCTCGGGACCCAACGGATTGTCTGGCGAACCTCTCAAGAGGATCATGTCGTCCTCGGGGCTCAGGGTGCCAGAAATTGTTGTCGCATCTCCGCCGGCAGGTCGTCGGCCTGGTCCTCGTCCCAGTCGTCCCTGTTCATGCGTTCCTCCCATAGATTGACGTCGCCTTGCTGGTCGAGGAGGATCTGGTCGGCCTCGGCCTGGTTCATGTAGGTGCCGTCCTTGTACTGGATCCTCTGCCAGGCTGGCATGGTGTCGTCGTTCGCCTGGGACCGCCATGAAGTCGTGCTCATAGCCTCCGTATCTGAGCTCGCGGGGGTGCTGCCATGCCATTGCCGATGTGGCGTTCTCCTTTGCCCATTCATCCGAAACAGAGCCATTGTCCGATTCGGAGTCGAAGCCATCATCGATGGTGGAGGTGGTGGCGCCGATGCTTTGGCCTGCGATGGTGCCCGCAAGTAGCCCGATGAGGGCTGTAACGATTTTCCCGATGGTGCCGCGCTTGGTGGTGCAGGAGGACTTGCCTTTGCCTTGCCCTTGGCCGGCAACATCAGCTTCTGTCGTTGCGAGTCTGTAATTCCCAAGAGAGTCTTCGCACTTGGGTTCGCCTTTGGCACCACCTCCAGAGCCTCCCCCGTCGGCGTCAGCGCCCAACGAGAACCGCAGTTGTCGCAGATCCTGACTCGAATCCCGGCGGCTCCATACACTCGGGTCCCGGCTCCCTCGGTGTGGTCGCAGCGGACTGGATCCCGTGGATACCTGCTCAACTGTAGTGCCGAGGATGCTGCCATGGCAGCCTGGGTCGTGAGCATGGTTACCGCTGAGCAAGGTTCGAAGTAGAGCCGGAGGATTGCGTGCTTGAGGCGCGGCCTCAATGCTGTTGCTGAATACATCAGAACTGCTTGCTGCGTTGTGAACACAAATTCCAGCAGGTGGCTCATGATCGCTCGCCAACGGTGCAACCATCGAGGAGCCTCGGATTTGGTCTTGGAGGGCATCCGGTAGCGCCTTGGCTGCCTTCGAATTTCCGATAACTTCAAGCTTGACACGCTCGGGAGGAAAAGCACGGGGATGCACAACGTCAGGTGGGCCTCGCTTGCCAAACTTTGCACTCTCTGACATCGCTTGAACATCACACTCACCTTCAGGCCACTCATCAACCCTAAGAGCTAGATGTCCACATGGGCTGAGGTAGAGCTCTGTAGACCTCCCATTCAGAGCCTTGAACGTGACACGGCCCTCCAGCAAATCCGGAACAGCCCCAAGCGCCTCCATTGCCGGTCTCGAAAGAAGTCCCTGACTAGGAACGCCTTGTGAGGGGCCGAAGGAAAACTTGCAAACTTCAGGGAAACGTGGAGGTACAAGTTGTAGTTCGCTCTGCTTCTGAACATGCCACTTGTGACCAGCAACTTGTCTCTGACACCCTGTATCTGCAATCAGGAAGGAGGCGTCTTCGCAAGTGCTGAGGAGGATGCTGGGTGGTCGGGGCACTTGATACACAACGTCCTTTTCCTCGTCGCTCTCGCTCTCGCCGTCGTCCACCTGGGTCATCCAGGCGCTGGACACATTCACAACGGGGTCCCTTCGGGATCCAACTCCACATCGGCCGAGGCGACTTGAGCCTGGTAAGTGTTCACATGGGGACAGTCTCGTATCCAGTGGTCTGACGACCCACAGCCCAAGCATAGCGAGCCGCGTAAGCGACTCTGCCGATCAGCGGAGCCAGCGCCCTTGCCTGTCCCCTTGCTCGAGACCTTGCCCTTCGAAGCGGTCTTGCCTTTTCCCTTTCCCTTCTTGCCCTTGGACTTGCCTTTGCCCTTGTCACCGGACTTGCCCTTGCCTTTGTTGTCGCTGTTCTGGTAGTAGCCGCGGGACTGGACCAAGCCGGCCAGTTTCCTTGAAGTCACTGTAAGGGCCTCGGCTGCTGCAAGAAGGGCAGAGACCTCACCGTCTGGCGCGTCCTCGGCATAGACTTCGGTCTCGGGGATCATTTCCTCATCCTCGTCCTCCTGGTACTCCAGCTCAGCGTTGGGCTCATTCTCTTCAGCCTCCTCGGCCTGGTAGTCGTTGGTATCCTCCTCAGGGACCACGGCATCGTCGTCACCTTCTGGTATCGCCTCTTGCCAGTCGGTGTTCCACTGACTCCACCTGGTGGATCGCCCAGCTTGGCCCGATCGTCGGGTAGATGCCGTCGAGGAAGACCTGAAGGAGGATGCACGACTCGAGGAGGCCCGACTTGACCTCGAGTTCAAGGTCGAGAGACCCCTGGGGAGTCCTGTGACCGACATCCCAGGAGGGTACTGCACTCGGATGGCCTCCAGGATGGGCTTCATCTGGTACTTGTTGCCCGCAGCGAGCAACAATGATGCCACTGCTCTCTCGTCAAGCTTCAAGCCATCCAGGAGCTTGATGGTACGGGCTTGCTCGGGGTAGCTGGGTACTCTGCTGTCTTGTAATTTTCGTTCCAAAAGCTGAAACCTCCGAACAAAAGCTGTAACGCTTTCCCCTTGAAGCCGACATATGCTTTCGAACTCACGAATAACGCCGCCCTGCCTGAAGATCTCTCGCTCGCCGAAGGCTGCCTCCAAGTCCTCAAGCAGAAGCTTTATACCGTTGTCGTTGTCAAAGCGGTCGTCGGGCACCTCCTCGAATTCCAATTCGGCCTCCCCGGACAGCTGCTCCAACGCACGCAAAGCTTGTTCTCCGGGAGGAAGGAACTCGCGAGTGATGCGGACCCAACGGTTCAAACGACGTTTGTAGTGTCGAAGGCAGTAGGGGTTCCGTTCCACATCGCCGTCAAAGCCAGGAGCCTGGGGAATAGCACCTGAGCGCCACTTTTTCTCCCCAGACTGATCTTTGGAACCGGCACCACCTCTTGTTCCCCGCTTTCGCCGACCAGACGAGTGGCTGGGAGCATCCTCACCTGCTTCCCCGGCCGGCTCATTCACTGCCGCGCCAGCACCTTCTGGGCTGTCTGCTGGCAAAGCGCTCTCGGCGCTCTCGTCCTCCGAAGATGCAGCGCCAATAGAGGCTGGGCCAGCAAAGTCGAACAAATCATCATCGAAGTTCGGAGCTGCCATCAGGTTGCACTAGGGAACACTACGTCAACCTGCGTCGCTACCAATGCGATAAAAATGGTGCAGCACGGAGCCTGGATCTAACGTGAAGAACCCTAGCACTCCTGGACGCTCAAGATCTTTTGTCTGCATACGCGTATCCCTTCCCACAGACAGCCTTGAGACGGCGGGAGAAGGAGGTCTTGATGGCTGTTGATGCATGACACAAACCTTTGGTTTAGCAAAGAGAACCCAAATGGGCAGGGCTCCTAAAGTCTTCGGTCGCAGCCTTTGACGTCCAGCGATGCCTGAGCCCTTGCAAAGGCCCGCCAGCTACCCGCCAGCTTTCAGCTTCAACGCTTCGCTCTGCAGTGCTCTGCAGGACTCCAGCGGCCCTACGCTTCGCATGCGTCTCGCAGAGGCCAGCACTTTGCCATACTGGGCCACACTGCACAGCAAGAGTGTGCAGGGGCAGCGAAACCAGACTGGCAGAAGCGGGGCAGCAAAGAAGGAGAGAGGCTTAAGGGTCCCTTCCACGCGCAGAAGCGTGTGCAAAAAAGCAAAAGCCAAGAAGCACCAAATCAAACGCCCCTAACAAACCCTAGCAACTCGTCTAGCTGGCGATGTTCGGAGCTTCACCTGCTGAGTGATTGCGCTTTCATTTGCCCGTGGCCGTCATGCAAAGGAGCTGGGCCACGCCTCAGGGGGCGCCTCGGCGACCTCCGTATCGACACTGACCTGACGGCGGTAACAGCGCGTGTTGCACTTCGATTGTGGGCCACTTCGCGCGTGGCTTTGGGCCAGGGGGCGAAGTCGGCCAAGAGCTCGCCTGCTTCGTTCTCGGTGAGGAGCATCTCCGCGCCGAGGCGCGCCTCAATCCAAGATCTCAGCATCTTCGGCGGCAAAAAACCCCCAGCTTTCTTCACCTCAGCGACAACTCAAGCGACTTCGGCGACTTCTGCATGCTGCACTGCCCTTTGCTCCAACGCAGGTCGGCAGCGTTCGGATGCTCGCCGAGGTCGAGCAGGCTAACATCGCCTTGAAACAGCCCGCGAAACACAAATAATCCGTGTGATGCCCCCAGTCGAATTTGCGTGTTGCACCGCTGTCGAAGCTGAGCTGCGCTGGTCGCTCCTTGATGTCAAGTCTCGCCAAGCTTCAAAGAGCTTTTGTCGCAGTGTGTTCTCTTCTTGCGTGAAGTCGTCTGGCGGTAGGCTTGCCAGGAAGGCTTCTGGATCAACTTCCTCCATGCCCCCGACGTCGAGTAAGCGAACGCCCACCTGAAGAAAGCAGGGTCGGAAAGATCTCGAGCCGCAAGAACCAGCTACAGCGCCTCCGATCCGAAGGCGCCATGCACCACTTCCACCTTCATCGCGGAGGTGATGTGTGAGTCGCGTCGCACATCGCGGACGTCGCCTCTGCTCCGATGCGATTCTCGATCCAAGCAGTGAGCCGGATCCCACGCGGCCACTCCAAGAGAGCCTTCCTGCGGCCTCAGAGTTTGGGTTGTTTGGGTTGGGGGGGCGCGCTCCGAGGGGGCCGAGAGCCGAGGCCGAGCTCTGACACAGCGACGGGGGCCCGGCAAAACTCCCGATCCGAGGCGATGGGAGACAGCTTCGCCTCCCCAACGTCCCTCATCCCGACTTCCCCCCACTCTCAAAAGGCACTGTCTCTCTTTCTTTGCGGCAAAGGCACGAGCCCCTTCCCCTGGCAGAGTTGCTCTTCGCAGAGCGCGAGCAGTGAGAGGCGCTGGACTGCTGTGCTGGACCTTCAAAGCCTCCACCAACAAGTCTCGCAGGTCCAACTCCGGGTGGGTGAGGTGATCCTTTGCGGAGAGCACGGCCGAAGAAGCCTCCCCGCCAAACCCCACCCCCCGTTTTTTGCTCCTGCGGCAAGCTGTCGAAGAACGCGTCCTGCTTCTCCCTCCGGTCCTGCACATGCGGCCACGTAGTGACAGCTTAAGCCCGCTCCGGGCCGAGTCGGGGCGCGTCAGTCGTCCTCCTGTGATTCCTCAGGTCCTTTGGCGGGATCGGCGGCCTCTCTCCCGCTCCTCAGCGGACCGGGGGAAAAACAGGCGGAGGAGGAAGGAGCAAGGAATATCTCTCAGCTCCCCCCCCTTTTGCCCGGGCCTCGGTGGTCGCGCTTTGGGCGGCCCCAAAGCCATCGCTCCAACGATGGCGTGCGTGCGCGCACTTCTAAGGGAGAGAAAGAGAGGATGGGCTACTGGGGCCCTTCACTTGCTCATGTCTCCCTGATTCCGCTGCCCTGAGCCCAGAGAATTCCGCACACAAAGAGAACTCGCTGGCCGCTCGTGGCACCGCGAAGTGCCTCCCCCCCCCCCCCCCCCCCC